GTTTTAATTTTTTACATTTACATCCCCAAAATCAACTACTCTAAATTCAATTCAATTTAGAATATAAACAAATACGAACTAAAATAAACAAATAACACATAAACAAACACAATAAGTCAATAACATATAATACAAAACTACAAATACCAACCAAAATAAACAAATACATAATCACTAATACACATAAACAAACACAATCACTCAATAAACTACAAATACCAACTAAAATAAACAAATATATAATCCAATATTCAACAAAAAACATTCTTAAGGCAACAAATGTTCATCCCACAGTAGGAGTGATAGAGTCTCTTGATTCCACAGTCCTGAGATTAGTTAATGACACATCAAGATCATCATCCGAATCATCATCTATATCATCATCTACAAAACAATGATCAACTGCAAATATTAATAAATGTAAAAAATAAAATATATAAAATATTATGTTAACATGTTCATCCCACAGTGGGGGTGAGGGTGATAGAGTCTCTTGATTCCACAGTCTTGGGATTAGTTAATGACACATCAAGATTATCATCCGAATCATCATTCACATCATCATCTACAAAACAGTGATCAACTACAAATATTAATAAATGTAAATAATAAAATATATGAAATATTATATTAACATGTTACCTGTAAACTCATATCCATATAGCCAAGTCCAAGTGCATATCCATATAGACATTCTTCATGGATAAACACCTATATATCAAACTAACATAACCTTTAAGCTTTCATAACAACTAATTATACAAAAATTAAACAACTGTATGCCATAGTAATAACAAAATGTTTACCATTATATTATTGTTCACATAGAAATAAAAATAAAAGAACCGAGCTATACTCAAACTATAACAAACTAAGACCTGGCTGAAATTTATTGATTAAGTGTTTGACCTAAGTGCATAATACTAACACGTGATTACAAAGATGACGAACATTATAAAAGTGGAAATGTTAAAATCACTTAAGCTTAAATTTTAACATACTTAATTATCAGCACCAAACAATGAGTCATAAACCATTGAAAACATATCATCATCAAAGATCAATCAAGTTGGGTGCAAGGTTAGAAATTTCAAAAAGTTTCTAATCCCATATTCGACAAGAACTTTGAAGGTTGAAAAAAATAAAACTCAAGCTGAGCTCATTAAGAAATTGGAGAAGTATGATAAAATAAAATAAAAAGAAAGATAGTGAGACTACTGCAGAATTTCTACTTACTGCCCCACTTAAACTGCCAACCCCGTTATGAAACCACCAGAACTTAAAACTTGCTCCATGTAGAGAAATACATCAGACCATATCCACCAATTAGCACTAACCGATATTTCTTGAACAATGTAGTAAACCTTGACAAACACATACATACCTGACTCAACAACAGGGCATAACACTCACAAAACATTAGTCAACTATTGAATAAAACATTACAAATTAAGAGACAATAAAAATACCTACGAAGAAAATTAGAAATTGCAAAAATAACCCCTAAGACTACTCAGAGAAATAAGTGAAGAATAGATAAGGAGAAACAAGAGAAGCTATATACAAAAATCAGAAGGCATACAAACTACACAGTAACAGCTTCTCTCTTTTCCCCAATTCTTGCAAAACAAGCTTACACCAGTTACAAAAAAATTTTGGGAGGAAAAATATTTATATCTCCGAAATGTAAATCGATTCAAAATAAACTAATCCTGACTAGCAAATTTAATCCTGTGCTCAATCTGGTTAGTACTTTACATTGTACTTGGGTCTGAAACCAAGCCATCAATTTTTATGAAGGCGCTTTAGGTTTGACCCATAACTGCCTTCCACTCACAAGGAAAAGAAACAAGGACGAGGCATGCACTTGATAAGAGTAAAACCTTTTTCCAAACACTACCAAGGACCAGTCCCTGAATTGGTAAAATTAAGGTTTCAATGTCAATAAATTAACATGTGGATTGACCAAGTGACTCACTTCTCTTGTTTGAGTCCAGTCCAGGTCACTGTTTCCAATTCACTTAAAACAATCATATAGAATGAATTCACATACCACTGGAGAGTAAGCAACAAACAAGGCATATTCCCAAGAAAAGGAGCAAAGAAAGCATAAAATGCAACCACTAACAAGTAGAATACAGTAATTGCAACAACCTATCAAAGGTAAGGGCCAAAGATGCAACAGAAACTAAAAGATATCAAAGGAAAACAAAATCAATTAACACAAATTGCACAACCATAATCTACAAGTTGAAAATAATTGAATGCAAGAAAAATCCCTCAAAAAGTCTTTGCACCAATTTAAGAAACCCAACCCACAAATTTAAGAAACCCAACTCACCGATCTGCGATTGCAATGGTGGTGTGAGAGAAGAGATGTTGACGGCGACGATGACGACGACGATGTGCGATAGTGAGAGAGGACAGCTGTGAGTCTTGCGATAGAGAGAGAGAGGAGATGACGAGCCGACGACGTGGTCTGTGAGAGAGAGGAGTTCAGAGATGGCGACGCCGCGATGATGGGACTGGGATGATGGTCAACGGATGACAGTTGAGAGAATGACTGAATGAATGAGTATGAGAGATTGAGAGTCGAGAGAAATGTTTTAGAGTTAGGGATTTCATTTCAAATCCCCTGTTTTCTTTTAACAAAAGACGGGTACCCGCGGATTTACTCGTATAACATGTTAATAATACGGGTCGGACCAGGTACGGGTTTAAAAAAAGGGGTCAAATGCATTAGACCCGTACCTTATATTTTTTACCTGGGTACGGGTTGACCCGCGGGTCTGGACCTGTTTTGCCAAGTCTAGTTACAACTAATTGGCTGTGTTTTCTCTGTTGGAAGGCTAAACACTTGTCCGTGCGTGGGGAATGAGGCGAGGAAAAATCCCCGCAGGATATCCCTGTAAGGGGAAAATCCTTATAGTTTGAGGTGGGGTGAGGTTCACCCCTTCCTTGTAAAGGGGAAAGGGGATTCCCTGTCATCCCCGTAGCAGAGATAGGGATTCCCCGTCTCTAATTTTAACATTAAAAGTATTTGTATAACTATTAAATATGCAAGTGCAATTATAATTAACAACTTAATTTATGTTTGATTTAATTTCAAAAGGTTTGCTTGAATCGTATTTCAAATAGACCAATAAATTGGTTTGCAATTTTTCCAGCAACAAGACAATATTTGTAGTTTAATTTAGTACATATATGACACTCTCCACATTTGAAAATTTAAAAAAAAATATAAATCTAATCAATGTAAGACGTATCAGGTTTAACTGTATTAGTGTCAAAGTTCCATATTGATTAAGAGACGAGGGCTTTGGTTATTTATATAGCGTAATGAAACTTTAATATTTAGAGACGTCTTTTTTAAGATAAAATCGTGTAGACCCTAAAACCGAAAGTGGATAATACCCTTAGAAACCCACTTACTATATATCTGGACTCGAGATACATCAACAAACTGATATTTGGAAATCTATTTTTTTTGTTTTCAATTATGTTTTGAGTAATATAATATGACAATCTTCTATAATTAAATATGTTCACTTGATAAAGTTAAAAAGACTATTGTTTTATTTTAGTAAATTCAAAAGTCAAAGAGGATCAATAAATGGTTGAAGTAACGATTTTACTTTGTTTAAAAAGTTTAGTGAAAACAATGATTAAATTATTAATTTACAAGAGAGATGATTAAATGAAAAAAACATAATAATAACATTCTTACATATAATAAGTGAAAAGCCGTGTGAAACGTATTTGATGTTAGCCATCCAATTACTCGGCTTTATTCTTCAAGCCATCTGCAAAATCACACGCATGACACACCACTCCTGATGAATACGCTCCCTTCTGAAGCGTCAACAACACTTAAGTTTGTCGAAGAAGAGAAAGAAAGAAAGCGTGAAAGACACGGAGATAAATGCGAATGTGATCCACGAAAGTTGTTGTATAATGATAAAAAAGGTTAAGAAAGTGACGGTTTTGTCTGGAGAGAGTCCTCTCGGTAAAAGAAATGGGGCCCACTTAGAGAGCAAAAATAAAGTTGATCTGTCTGGTTCCTCTCAATAACTATCCACTCATGATTTGATGGTTGTGTCGACCTTAACTTTGGTCCTAATTATATAGCACTGGATAGCTGGACCCCACCTCAGACTTTTAATCTCAGCCGTTTGATTTTACTGTAATGAAAGAGTGAGGTGTTTTTCAGGTGGGTGAGTGGGCCACAGCATTGAAGGTAAAAGATTCATGGTGATCATCTTGTGTTTTATTTGTACACAAACTATTTGCATTGATTTTGGTATGGTGGGTTGGATCTCCACTTTTTTTCAATTTTGACTTGTTGTACATATTAATAATTACATAGTTCAATTTCAATGAATTCATATGATCCATGATTTGGTGACATTGACATACATAAATCATGCAATTCATAACACAAGTGATGGACATATTTATATTAAATTAAAAAACTTATTTTAAATAAATAACATTACTTTTATAATTTATAAATTTAAAAAAATTATATTAAGTTGATACATGTGTGGGTTTGATTGTGATATGGTTAAATGATGCCATCATGCATGTTGCTTTGTCAACAAAACATGCTAAATGCCATCACACCAAGTTATTTTCTATCAAAACCCACTTACTTAAATCAATGTTATTGTTAATTCCACTTCAGATTTTGCTCATTAAAGGTATGAATCATACCTTTGTCAATACTTTAATTTGTTCCAAAAACATGCTAAATGCCACTCTCTAATTTATGTATATTTTGCGTACGGTATCTATTGCAAAATTAATGAAATTAATTACCATAGTTAATGAAGGTAAAAAAGTTGAATGGAGAAAGGGGGAGGACAAAAATTCAGAGTTAGGTATTATTTTTCAGGGGCAGAAGCCATGATTGACATAATTGGCCTCCTGACACAAAGTCATCATTGAATTTACAGACAACACTCACCTCCAAACTTATTCTCCTCTTTCTATATAATCCCAACTCCCTACCTACATTCATACCATCCATCCATCAACTCTTTCAATTCTCTCTCTCTCTCTCTCTCTCTCTCTCTCTCTTCAAAACCAGAACCCTTCTTCCTGGTTTCTTTCACCATTCTACAATTAATAACTCATCTACTTCATTCAAAGTTCAAACCAAACCAAAACCATGGTTGAGAAAGACGATCTAGGTTTGAGTCTTAGCTTGAGCTTTCCTCAGAATCATAATTCCTTACACCTTAATCTCATGCCTTCACTTGTTCCTTCTTCTACTTCTTCTTCTTCTCCTTCTTCTGCCTTCAATCTTCACAAACCCTCATGGAATGAACCCTTCCCTTCTTCAGGTATACTCTCTAACTGTTTTTTGTTCTTATTTCCACTGGGTTTGTTTTGTTGTGATTTCTACATCTGCATGGCTTCAAAGTTTCAGATCTGGAGATACAAATATGGTTTAAAGAAATAATTTTTTTTCATGTTTTTTGCTTCTTCTTTTCATCCATTCATTGAAACTTGGATTAAAATAAATCGCACTTTCTTGCTTTTCCATGTTTAATATCTTTTTCTAATTTATACAACCTTTTGTCAATAGTTTTCCACGAAACTTTCTTGTTTTCACACTCAAAAGTTCCTTAATTTTGCTTTTTTTTCCCTTATTATTCGGATCAAATCCTCAATATAATTCATTTCTCAAATAAACTAAACCAGTAAAGTGTTGAACATCTCATAATCTTATTGGGGTTTCACATGCAGATCCAAACTCCGAGTCCTGCCGTGCTGAGACCCGGTCTTTTCTTCGAGGAATCGACGTGAACCGGTTGCCATCTCAAGCGGATAACGAAGAAGAAGCGGGTGTCTCCTCGCCTAACAGTACGATATCGAGTGTTAGTGGCAAGAGAAGCGAGAGAGAACCGAATGGAGAAGAGCTCGAGATTGAGAGAGCTTGTTCTCGTGGTATTAGTGACGAAGAAGATGGTGATACTTCAAGAAAGAAGCTCAGGTTGTCTAAAGATCAGTCAGCCATTCTTGAAGAGAGCTTCAAAGAACACAACACTCTCAACCCCGTAAGTACATGTTTTCCCGAGAAAGTTTTATTTTCTAACGAAACAAACAGGTAACTTTAAACTCACAAATGGATGGTGTTTGTTGTTTTCAGAAGCAAAAGATGGCGTTGGCTAAGCAGCTAGGCCTCAGGCCTAGACAAGTGGAAGTATGGTTCCAGAACAGAAGGGCAAGGTGAGATATTTTATCAATATATTGAGGGTATGTTCGGGTTTTCGAGAATGTTTAGTTTAGTCAATGACAGTTTTACCCTTTTTTGAAATACTGCAGGACCAAGCTGAAGCAAACTGAGGTTGACTGTGAGTTTTTAAAGAGATGCTGTGAAAATCTGACGGAGGAGAACAGGCGGTTGCAGAAGGAAGTTCAGGAGCTGAGAGCACTGAAATTTTCCCCGCAATTCTACATGCAAATGACCCCACCTACAACACTGACCATGTGTCCATCATGCGAGCGTGTAGGAGTCCCACCATCAGCTCCACCCTCGGCCGTTGATCACAGGACCCATCACAGGGCTATACCCATCAACCCATGGGCGTCAGTAGCGGGTCCCATGGCTCATGGACCGTTCGATGCAGTCCGTCCTCGATCGTAATTAGAGATCAGAAATGTAAAAGGGTACTAGTAGTGTTGAATGTTGAAAGTCTAGGTCTAAGATACGGTTGGTAGTATGATTTGGTGGGTCTTTGTTGGTTTTGCATGATTGACCCATCTAAATTATGTTTTGAAAAAGTTGACTATATTAGTTAGCTTTAATTATAGTGCTAATTAGTAATTAATTTATTGCTCATGTCATACTCATTCAAAGGGAGAAAAACTTTGAGTGTAAAGTTCATTAATATCTAATTATTAATTTGACCGAGTAAAGCAAATATATCTCTCTTCATTTAATCACTATACTTATATAAACCAATTTATCTTTTAATTTTTGTTTAATAGTCCCATGTTATGGCTTGATTTCCGGATTTTCCAAGAGAGGGAGAGAAAGTGTTGTCTAATTAATAAACATTATTTTATTCCTTAGTTTAACAAGCCAATCAAAATGGCCCTCTTTTCACCATTTGGTTCATCTAATTTGAGTCACCAATATAAACGTAATTTACCAGACAACTCAACCACCATTTAGGCTTTTAGAAAGTGTGATTATTGTCGCCATCACAACAAAATTGTCGGCAACCAGACAGATTACTCACGTCACGTGACTTGTTCATTTAGCCCTATGTATATGTGTCTGTTTACAATTCAAATCATTAACCTCAGCTTCAACACCCAATATCATCACTTGGACAATATATCTGAAACATATCTCATAATATCTTCTTCGAGTACTGGTATTAGTTTATATAGGTCACGGAAACAACATAAAACCTTCTGTCTCTGGTAAATTTATTTATTTTGGAAAACAATTTGGTTCTACTCTGGACTGTCTCTATTTGTTCTAATCGTCTGAAATTGCTGTCAGGACGATGCATATATTCATCTTTTCTTCTGTTCTTTACTGCTCCATCCATGTAGCTACACAGAAGCAATCAATTTTATTGAAATTGACCTATCAGATCATACCACTTGCAAGAGTCTCTTCCTGCTAGCGCTAGGGTTAGATCTCGATAACTTAATCCATCAAAAAGTTCATTCGATAAAAGCTCTTTCTCAGGAGATAGATACATACACACAGTACAGTTTGGAACTATATGCCTCCGCTTCGGCCCACTCTCGTCTGCTGTGAATTTGTGTTATTTAAGCCCCCACCAAGTTTCTTTCTAAACCCCGCTTATAATTTCATACAAAAATATAGGGCTGTTTGGTAGGTTATTTGAAAAAATTTATTATGAAAAACTACCTGAATAAGATATGATATGATATGATTAAATTAAATATGATAGGATTCTGAGAATGTGTTCGGTATAATATCTGAAAATTATATCAGGGTTGGATAAAGATTAGAATAGTTGTTTGGTTCATTTTCGGAAAACATTTTATGAAAATATTTAGATTATTTTTTAACCCCTTATATTTGTTAATTTAGCTAAACACCTCTTACAATAAAAGTTTATAAATTAACAAAAACACCCCACCCACCCAAAAACTGCCGGTAGCCGAGCACCACCACTGGACGGTAGTCGACAGTAGTCGGAATGGTGTATGACTAGCTAAATCTGATCGGTTGTGTGCCGATTTGGCCTTTTCCGGCCATATCCACCGTGGATTCTGGCTGAAAACGGTCAGATCTACGGCCAGAATTTGGCCTTCGTTGATGACTACGATCTGGTCGTCAACAAGAGCTAAAATATGGTTGTCCTCAACGGCCAGATCCATGGTAGATTTGGCCGAAAACGACCAGATTGACGCACTACTGGCTAAATCCAGTCTGTTGTTTCGATGGCTGGGGTCGATGGTGGCTTCTGGCGGTCGGCAGTGGCTTGGGGGGATGGGGGGTATTTTTATTAATTTATAAACTTTTATTATGAAATGTAATTGTTTTTAGTTGAATAGAGTTGAAAAAATGTTAGGCTCCGTTTGGTTGGTTTTTGGGAATACTATTATTAATATTCCCAAAAAAGTTAAACAGTAAAATGCCCAAAAACTCACAATATTATCCAATATTATTCAACTTTTTTTAAACTCCCTAAATTTGTTAATTTAATTAAATACCCCTAATTTTTTTTTTCAAAATTGCAAAAACACCCCTAAACCCACATTAAACCAGATTCCGACCACCACTACCGGAAGTTGGCCGGAATCTGGTAGGATGACACACTACCGACTGGATCTTGCCGGTAGTGCGCCGATCTAACATTTTCCGGCCAGATCTACGGTGGATCTGGCTGGAAAAGGCCAGATCTAAGGCCAAAGATCTGGCCATTGACGGCCAGATCTTTGGCCGTAACCAGACGTCAACGACGGCCAACGATATGGCCGTCGTTGAAGAGCAAATGCGGCCAGATCCACCGTGGATCTGGCCGGAAAATGCCATATCGGCGCACGATCGGCAAGATCCAGCCGGTCATGCGCCGATACGGCGACTCTGGCCACCCTCCGGCGGTGGTGGCTGGCTGTCCGTATTTGATGGGTGGGTTGGGGGTATTTTTGTTAACTTTTAATGTTTTATTATAGGGGTGTTTTGTAAAAAAACAAACATAGAGGGTATTTTATTAATTTATAAATCCTACATCGTAATACCCGCCTAATTCAACTTTTTTCAGAAAACTTTTCCCAAAAACGTAAAAATGTGAACCAAACGGAGCCTTAGAATAGGATAATAGAAAACAAGTCCTACCAACTTTTAATTTTCAATAAAAAATTATTGTTTGATTCGGAATTTCGGATTGATTTTCTTCAATAAGGAAACAAACACATATTCTATTTTTTTAAATGCAAATATAATAATAGAAAAATGATTAAAAAGAGTAAAACAAAAGGGGGATATATTTTATAAAGTAATAATTACCATAAGAGCATTTATTCTCATAGTATGTTATCTTTCTTAAACCCTAAACTTTTATTTCTTTCCCCGTAAAATATAGTTTGAAATTATTTTATAATATTTTTGAAGGGATGGAAGATGAAATAAAACAATGAAACAAAATATCCATATGGATATTCCCATNAGGGGGGATATATTTTATAAAGTAATAATTACCATAAGAGCATTTATTCTCATAGTATGTTAAAAAAAAAGTTCATCTTTAAATCTTTTATTTCTTTCCCCGTAAAATATAGTTTGAAATTACTTTATAATATTTTTTAAGGGATGGAAGATGAAATCAAACAACGAAATAAAATATCCATATGGATATTCCCATCAATTGTTCTTGTCTTAGAATTGCTTTAAGAAATTCTTGTTTAAACTTAGAAGTTGCACAATAGTTAAACTCTATTATTTTTTAATATCCAGGCAAAAAATTGGAGATGATTACTGATTAAGGTTAACAAAGATGTTCAAAAAAAATATTAAGAAGGACAATTTTGAAATAAAATAAAATTATATTTATAAATTGAAATTTTATAACTACTTAATACCTTTTGAGGCTTAGAAGTTAGAAAGAATTTGATGATGGCTTGAATAACACCAGTCTTTTCTTTCGGCTGCAGAGTCTTTTGAGTTTTGACCATGGCTATTGCCAAAGACCACAAGAACCCAACAAATACAAAACCTCTATTCTCGTTTGAGAATTTTCAAATAATAATAATAACGAATTTATATATTATTCAAAACCTACTAAAACTTGTTTCTCTATTAAACCCATATCAAAGAAGTAGTTTTTTAATGGAGAAATAAATTTTTACATGAGATATATTTTGTTTTGAATAACATAAAACTGTTGGGGCATTTTTTTTTTTTTTTATCAAGTCTAAATGTAACTAATTTTAATAAATTAAGATGTTTTAGGTTTGTTTAATTTTTGGCTTATGTTCTGTTCACAAGATATAAGTAAAAGGCTAAAATATTTGGCTTTCATATGAATACATAAACATCTTAATCAATAAATAATTTCCTTTTTCAACAATAGTCCTATTTATTTTATTTAATTCCAGTTTTGACAAAACACTTATACATTATGTATTTTTAGTATTTTGTTTTTGTTATAATAAATAGTTATATATTACATCAAACACTATAATAACATAGTTATCTTTGATTTATATACTTTTGTTTTTTTTTAATTTTCATAAATTTGATAATTTGAATTTGTTTAAAACATGTTAAATATAAAATTATATTATGGTTAATAAATACATGTGTCAAAACACTATATAAAAACAAACAAGTCAATAAATATAGTTTGGATATTTGATTTATCTAAGATATAAATAATAAAAGGGAGGATTAATGTATATATATATATATATTAAAAAAAATGCCAATAGTTGAGAACCACCTCTCTTTAAGCAATGAGATTACTTCATTTTGGAGTAATATGATTCCAACTCAAATCAGAATATGAATATTGGAATGATATTCTCATTCTTGTTAAACATGGTATTGGTGGTTTGAATTGTTCTCTGGGAATCCACACTAAACTAATTTACATCTATAATTTCTAACAACTGTAAATAACTAGAAATAATATCATCAACTTTTAATTCTGTGTCAACCAAACAAATCAACATGACCTCAGGAAACTAGAGCAATTTAAAGAAGAATATGAAACAGAAACATTTCTGTAATGTAATGTTGGTTACATAGAATTTAACCAAACTTATCTTTGTTATCATCATCTAAATTTGAAAAACTGAAACCATAAACTAGCTACGTTTACAATATGAAAAAAAAAAAAAAAAAAAAAAAAAGGTTAAGCACAAAGTTGAAATCCATCATAATTAAATTGAATCATATCCTAGATTACCTCGAAGAGTTTCGCCTAATTTGTGCACTCGATTTCTTGATAGATTCAATTCTCTGAAGCCTTATTTGCTCTCTGAATTTGGCTATGAACTCATCTGCCTTCTTATCAACATCCGGAGGTCCCTCATTACCACTGATTGAACTCGCTTCTTTATTGTTTGAGCTACTTTCCGTGTTGGCAAAAAATGGACTTTCTCCAATTTCATCATCATATTCTTCATCTTCAATCTCCGAATCTTCATCGGTTTCCACAATTACCTTATCGACCAACTCCTCCTTTTCTTGCTTTGGAAACTCCTTGAAAGTTGGCTTTGCCATGTAAGTCACACTTTCGCGGTTCAGCTGCTCAGTCTTGAACGATGTTTGATCAAATGTTACATTTCCACTATCTTCAAATTCTTGATCACTCGGTCTAACCATTCTAACTGATTTTCTCATTGAACTCACTCTGCTCATACTCGAGTCCTTTGGTTCATCAGTGAGTCTTCGCTGGAAATGCTTTTCACTGAATGACCCCTCGTTATTCAAATTATAACTCGCTTTCACGGATGATGATCTATGCGTGATTGGTGGGGGTGGTGGTGGTGGAGGAGGAGGAGGCCGATAAAAGCTCTTCTTCCTTGTCGAGTCCTCTGAATTCTTTGCTTGAGACTCAGAGGAGGATAACGAAGGCGAAGGAGAAGACTTCTTTGGAGAAGATAAAGATGGTGAAGGAGACAGTTTCGGAGAAGAAGATGTAGAATTGGATCGAGATGATCGAGACACTTGAGGCCTTAAAGACCGTGATTCCAGCCTGTTCAATTCATGTTCCTCTACTGAAGGAGGTATATTGAACATTTGAGAACTTGGACTATCAACATCTTCTTTCATTTCCATTCTACCCGATCTTGATCTCCATGGAATTGGAGATGGAAGAACCACATTCTCATTCAATTTATCCTCCAAATTTCCCTGATCCCCCCCTCCCAATTCTCCATTTTTGGCTTTGTTTGCACTGCCTTGAAACCTTCTAGAACTCGACCTACCGAGAGAAACAGACTTACCATATGTTTCTTTGACAGACTCAACATTGTTTGAATCAGGAACACGCGACTTTAAGCTCCTAACAGGTAAAAGAAGAGGTTTTTCTCCGATTCTTGAACTAGTACCTCTCTGCTCAATAGAATGCTCATTAGCTACAACAACTACAGGTTCATTTCTATAGTACTGATTACTCCAAGTTTGGACCTTGTTTTCATCAGATCCCGACAAATTTTCACCCTCTTCATCGAAAACCGATGACACTTGAAGAAATCTAGACATATAGGTTTGAGCATTTTCAAATTTTGATGGACTATTGTTTTCCTTCTCTATTTCGTCTTTTCGGTGGCTAAAGAGGCCGTAAGAGACAGCAATGCCAACAAAGAGAAGGTGAAGAAGCTCCCAGCTTCTGGTGAGTAGAGTTTGATTGATAAATTCAGGAGCTTGTGCAGGGAAAAGTGGGAGTATGACTAAGAAAATTGAAACTATGAGAGCTTTGTAAAGGAAATGTGTATAGAACTTACTTGGGTTTACTCTGTTTTGCTCTGTTTTTAGAAGTTTACTCCTCGTGTAGGCGTTCGTATCCGCCATTGAAGAAGAAGGAGGAGATGGAGATTGGTTTTTGATGCGTGTTGTTTTATGTTAAAGACAATGAGAAGAGGTAGAAGAAGAAGATTATTAGAAGACTTAGGGGTTAATGAAAAGTAGAGAAAGAGGAAAGATGGTAGATAAGAGAGAGTGGAGAGGAAAGTTTTCGGGAGATGCGACCAAAATTTAAGCTTTTAATGGTTCTTTGCAAATGACACTAATGGCCTCTCTGTTTTTGTTTGTTTATTGTTCTTCTTTTTCCCCAACTGGGATAGCCTTTTCTCCACTCAATTTGCTTCTTTTCTTTGCTTTTTCATGGATGGATTTGGGTTGCAACCTAACTAGAATCCCAATCACTGGTAACAAAAATGTTCATAAGTTTGTGTTAGGACAGTCAATTAAGATTGCTTTTTATGCACGCTATAGGCTTTTGTTGTCAAATACTTCGTTTAGTTTAAGGATTTCGATGAGTTTAGTTCACCTTATGCGTTTGTAGATTCTTTTTCCATTACTGAGGTGACAATTTGCAAGCAAACGACAGTCAGAATTCGTTTATTTTCCCTTGTGATTTATAATTTTATATTTAAAATCCGTGGTCAATATTTCTTCAAGATGTTCATCCTGCAAATTTGAGGATGCAGTCCAAACTGTTATTGAGATTTAATGCTTCAGAGGATGGTCTGGGTGGATGAAGCTTTTTGAAACTGTTATTCAGACTTTTTTAAAAGTAGCTTCAAGATGTCAAAATCATTTTATTTAAGGGAGTTAGGTTTGTTTTTTTTTTTTTTTTCTGGGGGGGGGGGGGGGGGGGGGGGGGGGGGGAGGGAAATACATGAATGGGAAAGGTGACAAGCATTGAAATATTTTTGAAAACTCCATGACAATATATAAATTTCAATATATGACAGGAGTACAAAGAAACTAAATAATTTGCACCCATAAAATCAGTTAAGGGATAAATCTAGCCATCTATATATTTGTAAAGAGAATCTGAGTATGGTGACATGATAGGGAATATTTATAAATATAATGCAAGGGCCAAGGGGCAAATTGGTTGCGTGGTTGTGGTCATGATTCTTCTTTTGGACTGCGTACGCTAGCATTTCTGTGGAGGTAAAACAAAATAAAACATAAAAACGAAAAAGAAATTGTTTTTGAAGCTTTATCCGGGTTGGCCTTTCTTCTCCATTCTTCTTCTATTGCTATTCTCGCTGACAACTTTTAGATGCCCCTAAGGGCCACGCACTGTCTGACCTGGATACACTCCATTAATTAATTTACTTTATATTCTTTTGAAAATAACAGTAAATTAGGAATTGGTCTTCACTAGTGATTTCTACAACATCGTCAATATTATTTTATTTATCGACTATATATGAATTAGATTCAGATTCGGGTGGGTTTATTCCAATGGCGTATTCTACATAAGGCATTTATCTTTCTGCCAGATACCATGTTACCATTCATGACTTGCCATGCACTTAGCTTAAAATTCTTTCTTTTCAAAAGAGTGGAACTGGTATATAGAAAAGCTCTACCCTTAATGTGTTTTCTTGACGTTGCATGTTGTACTTTATGAGCAAGACATGATGAAGCTGAATGGTAATTGGTTGTGTGCAAATGTACAATAACTAGTTTGATGGCAAAATTGCATCAATCTGGGTACATTTCACAGAATATTCTAAGGGAAAAGAAAGGCAACAAAAACTTTCAATCTATCAAATCCAGTGACTCTAAAGAGAGTTTAGTTTGCATCAGAAATATCAAATATGTTTATCTCTTGTGGGATAAAATTTGGTCTCTGACTCTCTGCTTAGTAGATATCTACTATTTTAGTGTCAAAAAAAGGGTCTACTTTGAGTCTTTTAAATTCATCCAAAACTTTTGCCTAGTCACGCAGCCAACAAGCATGTGAAGGAAGAGTCTTTATTGAAGTAATTAATTAATATTTTAGCGTAATGGCACTTAATAATAAAGGAATGAAGTTTGAGAGAGAGGATAATATAAATATAAAGGGCCTAATAAGATGAAGTAGGTTGATAAGGTATCGTTCTTTTCTCAAACTGATGGCCGAAAGTTAAGTATATTGGAAAGATTTGTTGACAATGGATCTGATTCTCTCATGCTTTTGTATATTTCAAAGTTTCATACTACTGGTTTGTCTTCCAAAATAAAATTTTGTAAAAGCAAAAGTGCATTGAGTTGTCATAATAAATTACATGGGTTTTAGGCTTCCATCACTCCCGTAACATTGTAGCCATTTGGAGTAAAGACATTTTTTTTTTTTTTTTTTTTTTTGGTAATGGGTATCCGAGTTAGTTTGTACGTACATTAATTATTGGGGTCTTTTGAACATTTTACAAATTCAAAGAATCAGGTAAGTTACAATGTGATAAGTGACCCTAAGATTCGAACTCAAAAAGTTAATAAAAGAAGTAAACCTCCAACCCCTTTTGGGTTATTTTTTTGTTTTCTTTCCTCTAAGGGATTTATTTTATCTTATTTTTTAAGGTTTAACAGTAGATATTCTTGCCATTATTTTATGGTGATAAGATATAAAAGCAGGGTAGCATGCATCAGATGGTGGAGTAGGCGGCTAATGATATAGTCAAACATATTCCAAAATTCATTTCTTTATTTTAACTGATAATATATACATTCCTAAATTCGTTTGTATATCTTATGAGTCTTCATTATCACCGACAATCATGGTTACGTCGTTGAAAAATAGAAGATAACACGACTCTCCTTATCAAGGATAGCACAATCCCAATAGGCATATTTGCATTATTTCAATACCTTGCAAGTTCCTTCATTTTCTATTTACTACTCAACTTATACATAACCTTGAACAAATCTAAAATTCAAATTATCTAAAAGTTTACCGGAACATTGGTTGCCTTTAGAGATGACAATTAAGTATCGGTAATATTATTGAAATTGCTGCTAAAGCGGCAATTGGTTAACGATAGGCAATTTCAGGTTTCGTCAACAACATCAAAATCTTTAGATTTTCAACATTCTCTTCTAAAAATTAACCTAAACAACCAACATTAACCACTCATCTACATAAAATATCCTTCAATTTGGTAAAGATTGTAGTTATGGAGAACGGGTTGGATGAGTTTTAAGAGTTGAACGGTTTAAGGAATTGTGAATGGTGGCATTTTCGTCCTTCAAAATTGTGTTAAATGAGAAATTGCTATTTTGTGAGGTACTTTTCCAAAATGGTTAGTTCTCAATTTTCACCCTAAAATAGGTACAAAAAAGGGAAATTATATTATTTGGCCCTATTTTAGGGTGAAAATTGAGAACTAACCATTTTAGAAAAGTATCTCAAAATCAAAACCACAATTTCTCATTTAACACAATTTTAGAAAATTGAGAACTACCCATTTTAGAAAAGTATCTCACAAAAATCAAAACAAAAATTTCTCATTTAACACAATTTTGAAGGACGAAAATGCCCCATTCACATTTCTTTAATTTCTTCAAAACCCATCTAACTCATTCTCCAAAACTACGATCTCTACCAAATCACTACATTTTTTTTTATTTTCTAGAGGTGATATTGTGTGATTTTATTGAGATCTTAGGAAAAGAAAACCATTGCATCTGTGTTGGAGTCAAATATGTGTGTAAGAAACATGTTAATTAGGATTTTTTTTATTTTTTTTTATTTTATGTATACAGGTGGTTAATTTTTAACTGAAGGTATTGAAAATGGAAGGATTTTGATCTTTTTGACAAAACTTGGGATTACCTATCATAGGATATCGGTGGTATTGATCACTTTTCACAGCCCAAGGTTGAAGACCATGAGAAGTGTCTGATATTGTTTGATAAGGGGTATTGGACACCGATAGAACCTATAAGGGGTGTCTTAATTTTTATAGAGAGGTTTTTTGATACCCTTCGGTGGTGGATATTAGACGTTAGATAGGACATATATGGGGGTATTTATAGTTTTCACAGTGAAAATTACAAAAACCCCTTATATTTTCTATTAGATGCCTACCAAAAGGTATTAAAATACCTCTATCTTAAAAATTTAGATACCCCCTATAGGTCCTATAGTGTCCCATATCCCCCTATAGGTCCTATAGTGTCCCATACCCTCCTATCGGATGGTATCAGATACTTTTCTTCTTCTTCAATCTTGGATTAAAAAAGTCATCGTTAACACCAATAACCTTCGATAAGCAGTCTCGGGTTTTGTCAATAACATTAAAATCCTTTGCTTTGACTCAAAGAATCCTTATTCTCTTATTTTGATGATAACTAAACAATATGTCCCATAATTTTGAGTTACTAACTCTTTGCTTTAGTTTGTGCTTATCTTGCAAGGAAAATCTTTTCTAAGCACAAGAACTNAACCCCTTATATTTTCTATTAGATGCCTACCAAAAGGTATTAAAATACCTCTATCTTAAAAATTTAGATACCCCCTATAGGTCCTATAGTGTCCCATATCCCCCTATAGGTCCTATAGTGTCCCATACCCTCCTATCGGATGGTATCAGATACTTTTCTTCTTCTTCAATCTTGGATTAAAAAAGTCATCGTTAACACCAATAACCTTCGATAAGCAGTCTCGGGTTTTGTCAATAACATTAAAATCCTTTGCTTTGACTCAAAGAATCCTTATTCTCTTATTTTGATGATAACTAAACAATATGTCCCATAATTTTGAGTTACTAACTCTTTGCTTTAGTTTGTGCTTATCTTGCAAGGAAAATCTTTTTTAAGTACAAGGACTGACTACATCGGAGAAAGGAAAAATGACAAGCATGAATACAATCTTGTAAGAAGCTTAGTTAGAAAATTTCTTGATTTTATGATATGCTTTGTAAAGCTTAGAGTTATGATAAATTGGCTAAACACTTGTTGAAAGCTCAAAAATACCAAGTTAATCAATTTTTTTATATTCTGGAAGAAGGTTAAACTATAAACTTTTAAACTTCAAAAAATGGGTTAAATTGCCATATTTCAAAGCTGTTAGACTAAATAAATAAAGGCCGCGATTGGCTATGTGGCCATCCGTGTGGACCTGAGAGCTCATGCTCCCCAAACGGCTAGCCGGAGGTAGCTAGTCGTTTGGACAAGAAAATTTGAATTTTCCCGTCTCTAAACAACTAGTAATGGCTAGTTTTTGGCTTTTTCTATATAAACCCAACTTGGATGCATTTTTAATGGTTCTCCAAGCACTCTAACTTGCATATATC